TTTGGATCCATAGTATATTTCAATAGGGACAGCCAGGGGTCATTTCGTAGAAAAAGAGCTAGGGGAACTCATTAGCATAACTCATTAGCATATGCCACACCCCCTGACATCAGGGGCCCGGTGGTGGACCTGCAAGGCCAGCGGGAGTGCGAGGAAGCCCCGCGAAGGCCCTCCCTGGCCCCAGGCAGGCAGGGGTGGGGAGAGGCAGGGAGGAAGCAACTTACCCTCCCTCTTCTCCTGCCTCCTCCTGGCTGAATGAGGGCCGGAAGCGGGGCGGCCGGAAGCAGGGGGTGGGGCTTCGTCATGTGCCCCCCCGTACCTCACCCCAGGGAACTGCGTTCCCCCGCGTTCCCCCCCGAAATGACCTCTGGGGACAGGGCAGTTTATAAAAACACATTTCAAATGCAATGAATAGTGTTGAAAAGGAAGTGATAAACTGTATTACAGTGACAATAGGTATTCTAAAAAGACTCAGTACTGTCAGCCAGTTATTGGCTCTCAATAACTTATTAAGTTAGACAGACTATGGTCAATTACTACAATGGAACAGGAGCTACAAAACCTTTCAGGAAAATAATGTATGCAATGAAAGAACAGCATTGGTATGTAGAGACACAGGAGTACACAGAAACAACAATGCATCACAGCTGTAGTAGCTAATTTATATCAACAGTACTGAGATGCATTCCTCTTACACATACCTTTGGTCTAGCACAGCTTCTGAATAAGATGGTGGAGAGTCTACATCTGGTGGCCTATGGTAGGCCTGGCTGGACATGTACTGAACCCCATTATTGACATTGTAGGTTACACTGCAGTGATGCGGATGATCAAGGACAACCAGTCGGGATAGAAGGACGGGGTGCTGCAGCCGATGTACTGGGAGTGTCATGAGATTGTTGCGTTTTCGCTGGTGGTGCAACACCAAGGCAAGAAGTGCCACCACCAGCACAAAAATGGCAGAGCTGCCAATAATTGCATAGGTAATGCTGGGATAGTACAGCAGCTGAGGCTCTGTGGTCACATAATCCTGGTCACTGCCAGATTCTGCAAGGGACAGAAAAGGAGAAAAATAAGACATTTCCCTCATGTATTCTCTGCTAATGTACAACTGCCTGCCTGGCTTTTCACTGAATTTGCTCATTCTTCAGGAAGTATGGAAAATTAACTTATCAAGAATATATGCACAAAAACTGGAGATGAGTTAACAGAAATTGCACATGCTTTTGGCCTGCATTGCACAGACTGGCTTGAAGACTGTAGAGGGAAACAAAGCTAAGCAGGAAAGACAAGATGAAGTCATGGCCTTTGTATCAACAGTTGTTCTAACTTTTGATCAATAGTAGGCGGGCAACTGGGACACATGATATTTACATGCCTGTGCGTATAAATAGCTTTGACCAAAAAGCATCGTCATCTCCTTGTACAAAAACAAAACAAACAATGATGAAAGATTCAGTTCTCTCTCTCTCTATGTCTGTAATATTGCTTCAAGGGAGTAAAAGAAATACAATTTCTTATTGCAGAAATTTTGATTCTAGCAATATCCGCCGGTAATGAAACGGAAAGAAAAACATTCAAAAACTTCTGTCGTTTTGTGGGGACTGAAAGTTGTTTTCTGAGATTTGAAAAGCAGTTCCCTGTCCAGTATCCAGAAGCAAAAATCCTCTCTCCTGCTCTGTTTTAAATTTCAGTTCTGCAGCTCCCCTATTTGACTGGCTGCAAAGTGTATCTTCCATAACTTCAAGAATTCTCCTGCCAAATAAGATAGTGGATTTAAAGGATTCTGTTATTTAAATTTAAACATATCTGTTTAAATAATGGCTCACTGATAGCAAAGAAAGAAGGTGGATATGAATATGAATTAAGGAACATCAGCAATAATCAGCTCTCAGGCCAAAGGAACTCCCCCCCCCGCCCCCAATCTGGTTTCCTGACAAGAGCCCTCTATTGACAAACCAAAACTTCCCTTCAGTATCCAATTACAGTTCAACACAAACTGTGACAGTGTTACAAAATGTCTAAAGAGTTGCTTGATTCAAATCCAATAATACCTTAGAGACCAACAAGATTTTGGGGGGTTCTGACTCTCGAAAACCCATATCCCTACCGCGGACCAACATGACTACCCTCTGAAACAGAGTTTCAGTTTGAGATCACTTTGACAAGATTGTATTTTCTTAAGTTTCAGGCCGCTCTATTTGGATGAAGGAAAGTCTAACTCACCTTCACTGTGACCTAGTGGGGTGAATACAGACATGTCTGTTTCCATTCTAAAAGTCATGCCAAAATTATCACTGCACATTTTATGCTATTCTAAATTATTCCATTTTGGATCTTTTCCTAGAGTTGATGGAATAATCTTAAAGCCCGAAGATTCATATATGTCACCTAGTAGTCCATTGTTGATTGTACCACTTCTGATGACAGGCAGAGAATGATGTGTTTGAAATTTGCCGTAATAACCAGTCCCTGAATCTGCTAGATCACTGGTTTTCTCTTTTGTATTTATTGTATTTTATACTGTTTTGTGTTGTTTTATTGTTTTAACCTCGGCATTTATGCCCCTTGTTAGCCGCCCTGAGCCTTCGGGGAGGGCGGGATATAAATTTAAAAATAAATAAATAAAATAAAATTTTATTTCCAAGGGAATAATTGTGCTGAAATGCACTGCTCCTTTGCTAAATGTTTCTTTCTTTCCTTTAAAGATAAAAACATTGTCCCCAATTTAATTACTTCATGCATGCACACCTTTAACTAGAATGAATGCATATTCTTCCCGTCTTTGTCACAGCATCTACCTCAATCCTCTCATCTTGTTGTCTCCTTGACAGCAAATTTACATTGTTAAGTCTATCAGGACAGGTACCTGTCTTCTGGAACTCTGTGAAGCACTGTGCACAGTGATGGTGTATATAAGGAATAATAACCCCCTTTTCTTTCTTCCATTAACTTTCCACCCCAGCCACAACAATAACCCCAAGTGTCACATCTTCAAATTATGCTGTTGAATAAATAAGGTATAGAAAAGGAAAAGAATAAGATCCTCAGTGCAAGATAACCAAGTGCATTCAACTCAACAGAAGTCAACGACTACCATGGCTGCCTCTGTTGTCATTGCCAAAAAGGGAAAGGATTGCCACTTACTGCACCATAAATAGTTCCTACCATGAGAGAATTTACAGGGATGAGTGGGCAGAGGAAGAGATAATTCATAGTTGATACCATTTGTTAGAATAGTGCATCATCTCTGCTTCCAAGCAAACCAGCATTTAGCGCCGCTAAGGGGGTCGAATTTCTAAAAATCTATTCTTAGTGAACATGTACGTCATGGTAGGAGTGCTCTCCCCAAATTTCGTGTTTCTAGGTCCACGGGTTTGGCCTGGGCGTTGATTTTACAGTGAGGGGACTTTCTTTTATATAGGTCCCGGTCACACGGGCCAGAAAAAGCGGGGGGGGGGAGCGTGGCTGTTTGCCCCGGAGCAAAATAACGCGTGGGCGCCCGCTCACACATCCCACCCAGGTTAGGGGGTGAGGTGCCGATCACACGGCTATCCAGCAGCACAGCAAAGAAGCAGCGCGACGCGATCACAGCAGCAATTGCTAGGCACCGCTCCAATGGCAAATGGGTGTTCATTTTACCGCAGTTTGTGCGCATGCGCTGTTGGGCGCTTTTGCGCATCCTGCGGAGACTTGGGGGGGGGAAACCCTTGTTTGCTAAGGAACACTGGCGAGCGCCGGATGCCATGGGAGTCAATCGGAAACGCAATCAGACGCCCGCCCTTGCCCCGCGGAGTCCAGAAACCAGTACCTCGTAGGTACTAGTTTTTTAGTCCGCATCTTCGGCGGGACGCCACGGGAGCACTACGCTTCCCAGATGTTGCGGTATGATCACGCCCGGAAAATTCGTATCTTTAGCACGGCAAATGCTCCGTGTGGCCGGGGCCATATATAGATTTATTTCTCACCATTCCCCACAATAGGGATCTAAAGCATCTTACATCATTTTCCTTTCTTCCATTCCATCCTCATAACAACCCGTATGAGGTAGTTTAGGTTAAGAATGTGTACCTGGGCCCATCACCCCGACAGAATGGGGATTTGAAGCTGGGTCTCTTAGATTTTAGTCTGAAACTCTAATCATTACAGTCCATCCTGGGTAAGTCATGCAAATCACATGGTATCAAGTTGCTTTACAGTTGCTGCCAGGCCTGTCCCTGTTGAGTTCTCCCTCAAAGACCAAAACAGCCCAGGAAGGGGCTCTGCCCTTTCTGCCTTCTGACTAAAACCAAGGCTTGAAGGCTGGCAATACTGTTGTGGTTGCTTAGCAATGGCTACAGTGACCACTGAGGGGGCATTAGCTTCTTAAAGCTACAGATGCTGATTCTATTATTGTGGGGGGGGGATAATTCCCCATGTGTATTTTTTAAGATTTCAGAGTTTTCTGCAAAGCTAGGGCTTTGCTCAGGATTCTAGAAAGGTCTGTCTTGTCTGTTCTTTGCTCCAGTATCCACAGAACAGGCGTGTATAGATGATGATACAGGCTTACTTCAATCAACAAACACAAGCATGAAACAGGATTCTGTTAAACTATTTAAATTTAAAACTATGAACACAGCACCAAGGATGCTCTTCTGCCGAAGTTGTGACCATTACTATCAACTCTGATGACACTGAAACCTCTAGAGTGGAGGTTCTAATCTGACGCCCAGTAAGTTAGGCTGTGTGCACTCTATGCACAAGTTAGTTTCTTGACTGAACGTATACCCCACCTTTCAATGAACATGTTTACGGTGGCTGAGAAAATTAACATTGCCCCAAACATCACAGCAAATCGATACAAAATGGCTGTAAGAAACATAAAAATCTTCCGACAACTGCTATAATAATGTATTTGACCATTTAGGCCTGCCCCCTGCCTGTGAGATAAGCAAGTGATAGTTGATTGCCTTGCAGCTGCAAGAATGACTAATGAAGGGCTTACACAGACATCCAAGTGATGAAGGAAGCCCTCTGCTCCTTGTATCACCCTTCTGCATTTCTGGGCAGGCACCGCTACAAATGGCAAGGAGTTCTTGCAAGTTGACTGGCTCTCCTCAGTGGTTGGTGGCAACTGTATATAACATACTATGTCAGGGGACAGATATAAAGGTTATGACAGCTTTTCCTCTAGTATTCAGTTTATAGTTTTAGAGAAATATATGGATGCCTAGTTATGCGCTAATAACTTTCTGAAAATGTTTATACAACACAAATGAAGCCAATGAACTGAGTTTTCTATAGATGGAGTATTTACCTGTGAAGAGCCAGGTATGACAAGGGAGATTTATAATACACTGTTTGTTCTATTACAACAGAGTAGACAAGCCTAAATTAACTCAGATGCATGCAGTTCCCATTCTTCTCTGTTTTTGTTAGTAAGATCTGTGTATCCTAATGGCACTAGGTACAGATAGTTCATCAGTGCTACTTACACCTATTAAGCCTCATTATCAGCAAAGATGCCGAGTGTGCAGGCGACAAGCTTTGAGGCTAAAAGTATGAAAAAGAGCCCTGTGAAGGCTGGTAATGGGAAACATTACAGGGTAGACTCATTGGACTGTTTTACTGACCATGAACAAAGGACACCATCTCAAAATTATTAAAAAGGTCTAGGACCAATTGCATTAAGGCTGTTATACAATGGAACTGGGAAAGGCCATTACTTTGTCTCTCTCAAGCCTCTTCACCAGATGCACTTTTCCACACTTCATCAGGATGAAAGCTTTTGAAATACATAAACGGAACAGACATCTGAGGTCTTAATGAGCAAAGGCAATGGTTCCTCTCCAACAAAAGATACCACTTTAACGCCACATTTAAATTCCAATCGGTTCAAAAGTTGTGGGTGCTGCTTCGAAGGTTACAGGAGATGATGAAAGTCAAATCACTAAGGCTGGTGTTTAGTGCACATTTTTTGTACTGAAACTCCTTTCAAAAGTCTTAGATCAGAGCACAGTAGTACTCTGGCTGCTGATGCTTCTTAACAGCATGTTTCTTCATACTCC